ATAGAATTTTAAACTCCAAAAATACTTAAAATCAAGTAGATCTATAAACATATGAAAATCTTGAAAATGGATGGTCTAGATAATGTGTTGCAAGTTGCACTATCTTTTGACTTAAAATCTTTCTTGTTTTTTTTTTCATATTCATACATCTTGATGTCGAAATGATTAATTAGATGATTTTTCAACATTAAAACAACATTTTTTGATGAATTTTTGAGGTGCATTTTTAGTTCTACATTTTAAAGTTGCAAGATTATATAAACTTATATACTAAGTATTTATGGCCAAAACACATTCCAATCTTTGTCAAAATGATAAAAAAAACATTCAACAACATATTACAAACAAATCCATTTTTTTTGCTATTTTATATTTTTATGCTTGAAATTCTTTAAAATAATTGGTCGGACCACCTAAATTGGCCAAAATTGGCTTAGCAAATGGCCGGTTCTGGTTTACTTGGCCGGTTCCGAGTTGGACCAGCCGATTTGTCAAATCGTGTATACGAGACTTATGTTACAAAGATGAAGCTTACAGTTCCAAAATAGTGCAGAGGAAACTGAGGACACTTACGTTACAACGAGAATGCTTTAAATTCCAAAAGAGAGCTACAAGAGGTAACTACAATTTTACAACATAGACAGAGAGAGAGAGAGAGAGAGAGAGGAGGGGCCATGAAATTAGCACAAGTTTTTAGAGAGGTGGCCATAAAATTAGCACAAGTTATAAGATAGAGATGGCCATCAAATTATCTCCTCAAAGCTCCAACTTTTAGGAGAGGGAGAGACGATATGTCCTAATTTCCCAAAGATACTAGGGTTGCTAGTTCCCATCATCTCAGTCCATGCCTACTGAATAAGCATAATTTTAAGACCCAAGACACCTCTGTGAGAGTTATATCTTTAGGATGAGCTGGGTTCTTGTATTTAGAGCTTTTAAGTGATATTGCGTTCTTTTCTTGGGAAATCTTAATAATGAAAACTTATAAATTAGTGTCCAAATTTTTAAGGTGTCAAATACATAAGTGCACATCCTCGATCGTTAACATGTACAGATACCATGAACACAAATGTCCTATTACACAGGAGTCATACCATTTACTGTAATCTAGGTTACATCGCGTTGAACAAACAATGCAACTGAGGCACCTAAAAGCACCTCCAAGCAGAAACAGAGTGCAATGGTGTGCCCTTCCAACCAATTGTCAATGATTTCCCATTCATTTCTAGTGAAACAGACTCTGCGTGATTATAGCTCTTCACTATCAGTTTTGCCTGATACAAAGCATCCTCACTGACCTCAACCTCTTCAAAACCCACTCTGTTAAGAAACAACCTCCATGTGTCAAGCCCAACATGCCTCATGATTCTCTCTCCTCCCTCTCTCGCTATCATGTTCCGCACGGCCGAAGCCATAAGTGTCCCTTCCATTGCCAATCTATTCGGGTCTGCAGCTTCCATGAAAGCGTCAAGAGAATCGAAATAGGCACTGTAATAGAACAAAACTTCAATGAATCTGTTAACAAAAGATGGTGAATTATGTTTGCCTTCCACCTCAGTGAGCACCATTATATCAGGACACAAGTTTCTGATGACTCTGATCATCTTCTCCAAGCAATGAGGCTTAACCAGCATGGTCCTTAGAACCATGGGAGCCAAAACGGCAACTGATTCTTCTACATCTAGCTCAAAAAGTCCTCTCTCATATCTTGCTCAACATTTGAAACAGTAATCAACTTGAAAACCAAGGGGAGTTTCAGAGTTTTGGCAAAATTGAGCAGTCGGGTACCTGTCTCTTCCATTTTTCCTGTGGAATCACCTACCATGGTTATCTTCAAATGCTCAACAGGGTACTCGGACCTCTCTGATAGGCTCTGCATGAGTATAGTCCATTGCATGCCTGTTCTCGGCTCGAGGTCTATTACATGAATCTTTGTTGCAGAATCCAGGGCACCAATTATTACTTGGCTTGCTGTAAATTGCACGAGTTTTCCAAAAGGAACGGCCTGATAAATTGCCAATACAACTGGGTGATAACCCCTTAACGCTTTATCTACATCTGCTTCTCTCTCTATATATTCAGGCTTGAGAGATTTCATCCCAGTTTCTCTCTCTGCTCTCTCCCACAAAGCATCGGCAAAATGGAAAACCAGTCGTTGCACGGGGTTACCGACTGGTGAAGACTCAAAATCACACACCATCAAAAGCCTCTTTGCTCTATCATATTGCTGGTTTGATATCTTCTCAGCTGAAGATAAAAGAAGGTTGGCGAGCTCGATGTTTTTAACATCTTCTTTGGTCAAGTGAGAAAGCTTTGAACTGTCACGAATAGAGGGAGAAGAGAGGTTTTCACCCGTAGTGAGATACTGCTCTCCTGCAATTCTCATCACTTCTTCAGTGGAGAGCTTTTTCTCTCCTCCGATTGGAGGGTCGACATGGGTGCTCTGTTTTACAGCAGAGCTACCGGAAAGGCGCCTCGACAAGTTGCTATATGAATTTAGAATCTCCAAAGAAGCTAATGAAATTGGGTATGCCGTTTCTTTCTTTGGATAAGTTCCATGATCAGTTTGTTCTAGAATATCAGCAATTGGTACCTTCCCTTGATCATTGAGCGTGCCTGAAATTGGTGGGGTGTTTATGGGGCTTGATGAACCTGTGCTTTTGCTCTGTTCTTCAGGGGCTTGAAAAGCCATTAACAAACCAGAGAGAGTTTCTGGTTCATGGAAACCCAACTTTGTAAAAGTGACATCCATACGGCACTATAATCTGCGGAAAATCACGTCCTTACCACAAATAAAACAGTAAGTGACATCATCGTCATCATCTTCTTAAAAAATAGTATGTTTTTAGTAAATAGTGATATTTCTATCCAGGATCTTTATTTTATAAGTTTTGTGTGTAAGTGACCTCGTTGTCTCGAAAAATAATACGTTTTTTTTTAAAATGAAATGAAATAATTATTTCTACTTATTATCATAAATTTTAGGCGCGATAAATTTTATGCGTACGCGACCTCATTATCTTGAAAAATAATTTTTTTAATAAAAATTGTGATATTTTATCTATATTAAAAATTTTAAATACTGTAAATTCTTAAAAAAAAAAATTTATTTATTTTTCTTGTCTATTGTTAGAAAATTTTAGATACTGTAAAATTATTAGAAATCTATGTGATATTTCTGCTTTTAGTAAAATTGTGATATTTCTTTCTACTGTTTTTGAATATTTAGATATTGTAAATTTCATGTGCAAATGACTGCCTTATTATTTAAAAATTGATCTTAGATCTGGATACCATCAAACTATGGTAAACATTTTTTCAGGATAACTGCGGATTCATTTTGAATTGTATTAACAAGCGCAAAAAAATGAATCCACAGTTATCCTGAAAAAATATTTACCATAGTTTGATGGTATCCAGATCTAAGATCAATTTTTGAAAACACTTGTGATCCTTGTAATTGATCAAATAAATCATTAATTCTAAGTAATTGATACTTATTTTTCACTGTCACTTGGTTCAACTGTCTATAATCAATACACAATCTCATAGTCCCATCTTTCTTTTTGACAAACAGTACTGGAGCACCCCAAAGTGACACACTAGGCCTGATAAAACCTTTATCTAACAATTCTCTATTGAATTATTGCCAATCTTCGAAAAATCACGTCCTTACCACAAATAAAACAGGGATACGCAGATGTCCAAATTTTACGCGGTCTATTCGTTTTTTTTGCGCTTGTGTTGGAATTTCTAAATATCAAACTATTCTTTTATTTTACTTTTAAAATTTTTTGGAGTTTAAGGTCAGGATTCTCAGGCCACTTGGCTTGTATGTAGATTGTGCAATTTAAGCCATCTCAGGTCTTGAACATCGGAGTAGTCCCTAGATTATGAAATGTCAATCCACGGATTGGTCTAAGGTTCCAGACTTAAGACCACTTGGCTTGCCCAAACATTGTTGCAAGTCAACCTCAGACTGGTCCAAGGATTGCGAATTTCACAGTCTAGGGACAGGTCTGAGCTTTTAGATCTCAGACTGTTTGGCTTCCACAATGTTTAAATAAGATTTGGATTAAAGACTTCAAAAAAATTAAAAAGAAAATAAAAAAGTAGTATGATATTTGGAACATGGGGCCTAGGGGCGAAATTCGAAAAATAAAATAGGGTGAAAAAAAACAGTTGTCTGGTGTTCGGAACATTGAAACGGTGATCATTTTTCCACATTAAATAAAAAATAAGGTTTCCAGGAAAATACAGACATAGATACATTGGAATAAATGAGCTAATGAAGCCACGAAATTCTATGTATATAATCAGATAAGCACAAGCATCATTTCAAAACCCAAATCGTTGGGGTCGATCTTCCACCCCACATATCCATATCGGATGCTAGGTTGGTGATCAAGATCGGTCTGTATCGGTTCAAATCATAATCCAAAAAAATACTAAAAAATAAGAGTATATGAGTTGGGACTAACTGCAAACTTGAGAAAATATTATAAAGGCTTAAGAAGAAAAAATTAAAATAGGGGGTTTTACATGGGGACTTATCTTTTTAGGACCGCTTTGATCCCGACCAATTCTCGATCTGGATTGGCTATTCCCCGATTTAAATTTCTAGGTTTCAAAACACTGATCGCATGAACTAAAGATATTTCACTTGACATGATCTCTCTAGATTGATATTTACAAAGACAATCTATTTTTTTTTAATGTTGGGTACTCTAGTTTTTTTTATGTTATTAGCAAGGGTCCAGTTTCAACAAGTTCATCCGTGTCTCCATCCAACAAGAAGTGTCCAAGCACACTTGTAACAAATGAAAGAATAAGAATCAGAATTACAATAGTGATCAATTTGATATAAAATATACATTTGATGGTGAGTTTTCTTCACCTTCAAACAGGCAGAAACTTGTGGAAATAGTAATTAGTAAGTACGATGAAAATCCCCACCTTATGAAGAGAATAAGCACAAAATTGTTAGGGCATGGTAATCATAGTATACATTTTTGGCAGTTATGAAAAGTGTAGGAGGTTAAGTACAATGGGTTTTGTGATTAAAAAGAGAAAAAGCAAAAGGGCATTTAGTCCAGGCAAAAGTTTTGTGGACAATAGAAACGTAGTGACAATTATCCTTATTTTGATGTTATTGTTTACAATTTTAGTTAAGGCATTATTGATTGGGCTTTTTTTTGTTATCAGAATTGTATCAAACTGTTACGATATGAAAATTATATTACGTTCTTTCAATAATATTGGGCTTTTTTTTTTTTATCAGAATTGTATCAAGCAGTTCAGATATGAAAATTATATTACGATCTTTCAATAATATAAGGCGTGTCTAAACAATCAGAGCAAAGCGCACCTTCAAATAGTATCGAGAAATGTCGTTCCAATACAGGAAATCTTGTGATAGCCTTAAAATATACTTTCATTTGTAATTATAAAATTTCAAGCTTAAAAAATTATGTAGATCGAGCAAATCTATAAAACTTGAAAATCTTGAAAATTGATGATCCAAAAATTCATTACAAAATGTATTATTTCTGAAACTTGAAATCTATTTTTTCTCATGTCCATGCATATTGAGATTGAGATGATCAATTTGAGGATATTTGGGCATTAAAATAATCTGTTCTAGTGAATTTTTTGAGGTGCATTCTAATTTGATTGTTTAGAGCCTCGCACTTATATAAACTTTTTTCTAATAAAAAATCCATATTAAACCTTGAATTTTTTTGTCAAATCTTTAAAATATGATCGTATTTAGATACTCAACTAAAAATTTGGGCAAGTTTTAAACCTCTTTTAAAAATTACAATTTAGATGACAGATTTTCAAGATATTTCTTATTAGGCAACAAATATTTGAATTTTTAACTTGCATTTAAGATTTTTTAAAAGAATTAGTGTTCAAAGATAATAAAATAATATATTTTTGTTACCTTTTTAGGTAACTATCTAACTAATTAGAAAGGATTCATGGAAAGTTTTGGTAAGGTTTTATGTTAGCCACTTACTTAACACAACTCACCTCTTTTAACCTAGCTTGAGACGGATTAAGGAAAGGTCCTCACTCTTCTAGACATTCATCGCAGCAATATTGTAATATGTACTTTATATGCATGATACTAAAACTTGTTGTATAAAAAATTTCAAATAAATATATTTTATTGTGTAAAATAAATTTTAGTTCTTAATATCCAATATAAGAAAAATAAAGTTTAGTTGCCTTAAAATGACACGAAAAATTGACAACTCCATTTTTCATGTACTTTTAGGGCACGTCTGGTTCATGTGAAAATATTTTTTTGGGAAATATTATCACAAGAAAAAATTCTTTTATACAGTTAAGTATGAGAATATTTTCACACCAATTAACTACTAATTGATGTGAAAAGATGACTTGAGATCAATTAATGTAAAAATATTTTCACACCTAACTACTAGATAATTCTTTCACATAAAAATATTCCCTGAAACAAACGTGCCCTTAATTATTAGCGTGATTTTCTCTTGAACCGCTCTTGCCTTCAATATTGTCACGATAAAAGTAACGAAATTACGTTTGGTTTACTAAAAGAACGAACCGCTCTTGCCTTCAATATCACGATAAAAGTAACGAAATTACGTTTGCTTACTGGTATTACTAAAAGTAACGAAAATTGTGTCCTCAAAACTAATTGAGAACAATTATTTTAGGTATCCTGCTAAAAATTAAAGTTATATTGACATTAAAATGTCTCACCTTGTAGCGTTTCAAGGATAATTTACTAGGAAAAGCAAAGCAGGTATGCTACCAACATAATTAAAACTATAAAATGCTGCACAAAAACTATAAAAAAAACATAATTCCTAGAAACATTGCATCTTGTAATATATTGTCCAAATGGTTAATTTTCAAGATTTTCAAATGTCTTAGATGAAAATAGATTTTTATCTATTTTGAAGCTTTAAATTTCATAATTAAATATAAAAATATATTTTTAGACAATCATTTCGACAATAAAGCAACATCTATTGGCATCATTTGAAGGTGAGCCTTACTTTGATCGTTAAAGGTATTAACCTTATACAAACCCCACCTAGATTAAAAAGCATGAAATTGGATAAATAACTTTTTGAAAAACAAAGAAGTGAATAAAAACTATACAAAATTAATTAATAGAAATTTCTAAAGGATTGGAAAAGAAACATAGAAAGCCAATGCCCTATATTCCGAAGGCACAACACAGAGGAAAAGACAATATAATTGCAAACTAATTTAGGGAAACTTTGAAAAATGGAGAAGCATGGTGGAGGTTAAAGAGAACTAAAGAAACACATGTGCTTGTAATATCATTATAGATGGACGTTAAAAGCATGAAGATACCTTACTTTACCTTGAGGAATTCGTGGGTGCCGGAATCCTAGACCCATATGATCCAGACCTAGCTGCCTTTCCTAAATTACCGTGGACATAAAACCTAACTCCAACCCACCTAAATTCCCTAATTCTATCCCATAGTAGTTTATATAGTCCTTAATCTACACAATCGCATGCTCCATGCTCCATGCTCCCTAACCAACGGACTTGAAAATGTCATCATGAAAGCCAATCTTTTGTTTCAGTATTAGAAATCGTTCTAGTGGCCTAAAAAGTTGTTTTCACATCTAATTATAAAATTTTAAACTTAAAAAATAATGTAAATCAAGCAGACCTATGAACATGTGAAAATCTTGAAAATTGATGGTTCAAAAAATGCATTAT